CCTGGAAACCGTCAGTGCTACCCCAAACAGTGAAACAGGGAACTTCAAGCTGAGGGCATGGTTGCTTGGTCCTGTGGCTGAACCCTTTAACTCTTTTCCTTGGCTGTATTTAGTAACAAAGAGCTATACTAGGTCTGGCCAAACATTTCTCTCCAGACTGCCATCCCATGATGAGTCAGTTATTCACAAACCTGAGAACACCATAGGAACTGGTTGGGCCTGGGTAAAGATTTTTTTCAGGGGAGAGGGATGGGTCTCATTCCAGGCTGGCCTAGAACTTAACTTGCTTGGTTTATAACAAGAATGACTTTGAACTCTTGGCCCAGCTTCCACCTCTCAAGTTCTGGAATTACTGGTGTGTATCACCATGCCTTGGATCAAGAGATTTTAATAAGTTGATATCATAAGACATGGGTTTTTTTGTTTTGGTTTTTTGAGACAAGGTTTTTCTGTGTAGCTTTGGAGCCTATCCTGGAATTAGCTCTAGTAGACCAGGCTGTTCTTGAACTCCACCTGCCTCTGCCTCTGCTTCCCAAGTGCTGGGATTAAAGGCGTGTGCCACCACTGCCCAGCTCATAACAATTCTCCTGAGTTTTGTTTTGGGGTATAAGGAAAGAGGAGAGGCAGAAAGCATCTTCTATTTTTTCTTTAAAACTATGTAGTCTAGGCTGTCCATGTAGACCAGGCTGACCTCAAAATCACAGCGATTCACCTGTCTCTACCCCTCACCCCCCCAGTGTTGGGATTAAAGGCTTGCACCACCATGCCTGCACATCTCCTTTCTAGGTAGCCCTGGCTATAAGTAAGTTATCTTGGTCACTCTTCAGAACAACACTGGTTAACCCTCATGTAAGGAGCTGGTCACAGTGTGAACCTACATCCTAGCACCTCAGCTTAAGGCACCTCTGTTTAGTTTCCCTAGAGTGTATTGCATTGAAGTAGAAAGATTCCACTCACCACACCTGTCATTGCAGAAGGCTTGGGCCCAGTCTTTTATTGTCCCTGTGAACCAGGTAAATTCTGGAAGTCTCTGAGGCACAAAACTCTCTTCTACTCTGTCCGCATTCAGAGAGGTAGCACTAGACTTGCTAACTGGAAGGAGCCTTTGATGGGAATTTTGTCTTTTTATTTAGAAGAGGAAACAAAGCCCAGGGGAGAAAATAGATGATTCTTGAGATGCTATCACTGATTGATGGCTGAGCTGCAGCTGAGATGCGGTGGTCTGATAACCACTGCTTAGTACTGTTAGCTTGTGCTGCACGTTTTGCTTTGAACTGGTCACTGCTCAATTCCCAACTGCCTGTGTGTGCCAGCTGATGTCACCTGTCTCTACTATTAGAGCTATTGGTCTTATCTTGCCACACCTCCTGTGCTCCCTCAGGTGGATCGAATGTCCTTTCCTTGTGGCTGCTCCAGGGATGGTTGTGGAAACATGGCTGGGCGAATTGAGTTTAATCCAATCCGAGTGCGGACTCACTACCTCCACACTATCATGAAGCTGGAGCTAGAGAGCAAACGGCAGGTGAGTCGCCCAGCAGTCCCTGAGGATGAACCCTTGCCTACTGCTGGCTGCAGCCTGCCAGGAGCCCAGAGCTCTGAGACACAGGACTTTCAGGAGTTCATCGCTGAGAATGAGACTGCAGTGATGCACCTCCAGAGCGCGGAGGAACTGGAACGACTCAAGGCAGAGGAGGACTCGAGTGGCTCTAGCGCTAGCCTGGACTCAAGCATGGAGAGCCTGGGCATGTGCATCCTGGAGGAGCCCCTGGCTGTTCCCCAAGAGCTGTGTCCAGGCCTGGCCGCCCCCATTCTCATCCAGGCTCAGCTGCCCCCAGGTTCTTCTGTCCTATGTTTTACTGAGAACTCAGAGCACCCAGCTGCCTCTCCAGTGAGCAGCCCATCCTACTTGAACAGTGGGCCTCTGGTGTACTACCAGGTAGAGCAGAGGCCAGTCTTGGGAGTGAAAGGAGAGTCTGGCTCAGAAGAGGGCACAGCCTCCTTCCCCAAGGAAAAAGATCTGAGTGTTTTCTCCCTCCCTGTTACCTCACTGGTGGCTCGCAGCCCCTCAGACTCAGCTGCCCTCTGTAAACCAGAGGGGGGGAAAACACCCACTCTTGACAAACTGTTGCCCGATGACTGTAACCCTAAGGAGCCTGAGAGTGAAGACTTCGACCCCTCTTGGTCTCCCTCAAGCCTACCCTTCCGAACAGACAATGAAGAAGGCTGTGGAGTGCAGAACTCCCAGCAGAGCGAGGACCGGACCCCTGAAGACTCTGCCCTAGAGCTCCCTCTGGCAGTGTGACCTGAGACAGGCACTGCCCAGTCTCTATTTATTATCTAATGCCATTTCAAAACAAGACTGCTGCTCCCAGGTTATTTTATTGAAAATCTTAGAAAAAATGAGTAGGAAAGGGTTTTCAGTACATGTATTTTTAAAAAGGGAAAGAGACCAACCCCAGCTCAGTTTCCATTACTGAGCTCTGTGGGCCACTAGAACAAAGATGTCAATTGCACAGGATGAGCTGAGTAGCTTTATGCGTAGGGCCAGAACTAAGGATGTGAGCAAGTCTCTGCAGGGTACACACTCACTCCTCAGACACCCATCTCGGTGTATCAGTCACACTATTGGAAAGGCCACTCAGCTGAGTCTAGAACAGAGGCTGAAGAGTCTGCTTCTGTACAAAACTCTCAGATTAAACATTGATTCTGCCTTTCTCCCACCTCTCAACTGGTAAATAAGTTAATTTTCAACGTGTTTGGTGTTCCCTGACCTGCTCTGCAAACGGGATTCCTGGTCTGTAACTTGAATTATTTCTTTCATATGCTCTGAGGTACTAGAGTTAAACTTCTCTGCCTTTTCCTCCATCCTTTTCCCTTGAAAGGAAAGATCCAGGTTGGATATGGATATGGTACAGAGCATAATGCTAGCACACCAATTGGCAGGGGTCCAGCGTGGAAGAGTCAGGAAGATGACTGCTCTTCTTTCTCACCCAGTGTACCCACACACACACTCCTTTTGGGAGAGCTTGGCTCTAAATGGAATATAAAGTGTAGTACAAGGTCATCATCTGGTTAGGACTCTTTCTCTGTGCCCACTCTCATGGTCCTTCTTGGTTGTCTAGGGTTAGAGAGTTCTTTGGATATTACAGTTAAGTCCTGAGAATTGCAGGTGTTTATTGGGCCCCTCCATTTTGGAGATTTATGAAAACTGGAAGCCAAGCTGATTCTTGGTTAAATGACAGGACTCCCAAATTCCAAAGGGTTCAAGATTCAATTATTACCTTTGAAGTATATAGACTGGGACTCAGATCAACACTTACCTCAGTCAGTAGTCCTTGCTTCTCTCATGTCTTAATTAAAGTTCCAGAACCCCCATTCAGCACTGACTTTTTTTTATTGGCAATGTACCTCTGCTCTCTGGTAAAATGGAGGTGGTAGGAACAAAACACTATTTTCCTCTATCATTCTTTACTAACCAGGAAAGAAAAATGAAACTTGCTTTGATTTTTTTTGAGACAGGGTCTCACTAAATAGCCCTGGCTGGCCTGGAATTTCCTAGGTAGACCAGAGTGGCCTCCAACCTGTGCAGTCCTGATGGTGCATCCTGAGTGCTGGGATTGCAGGTGTGCTCCACTTTGCTTGGCTTTGTTTATTTTTGGTGGGGTAAGGTGGTCCTGGTGTTATAAAGTGAACTTGAATGTGTGGTAGCAGAAACACCTCTAAATCTCTGATCCTAAGCCTGGAGGTCCTTGTATTTAACATAGATCCTTGTTTTTAACCCAGTCTGCCACTGCTGTTCATTTCTGGGTTTGCTTGGTTTTATTGTTGGAGTTCTTAAGAAAGTACCTAGTTCTCCCTCTAGTCTCACAGTTCCCCTGACTGCCAGAGGCCAAGATGCTCTCACCCTCAGCTAGGACTCTCAGACCCAAGACTAAAGCCAACTGAGACTGGCTGGTGGACAGAAGACTTTTTCAAAGTCTGCTGGAGAGCAGGGAACTTGGCACCTTTCCTCTCAAAGACTCCAAACTTTCTTAGCCCTTGCACTTGGATTTTCATTAAGAAACATACTAGTCACTGTCATAAAGATTAGCCAACCCCCAAGATATATGATATTTCTGTATGACTCTAGTTTCTTATTCTAAATGCATCTCCTCATTACGTCATGTTCTGATTCAAACTGACTCCAAACTTATGAGTGCTAAATATTTAGCATTGACAAATGTCAAGCAAAGAACCTTTTCTATAACTTTGTCCATCTCATTTCTGGTGCTACCTGAGTTGGACAGAAATTATAGTTCCTGGTTGCTAAGAAGGCTAGGCTTCTGATCACAGAAGCAGAACCAGTTCCCCTCAGTATAGGCCTAGGTGAACTGTGGCTCATTACCACAGCTCGTTATGCTGTCTCCTCGCATACTGTGCACAGGTTGTATTCTCAATGTGAATCCAAAGCTTGTCTGGCTCTCTGGAAACAACACCCCCCCCCCACTTAGGTTCTTTACATTGTAATAATGCTGTATTTAAAGAGAATATTTAAATGTAATATTAAAGAAATACTCAAAAGAATGGTGTGATACTCTTTATCTTCGCAAGTCGCAGTTATTTGTGAAGAGAAAGGGTGTGTCTCTTGCTGTGTATATAAAACTAACTAGGTCAGTTAGGAGCTAATGTCAATGATAGGAATATTACGTGACAGAAATGTAGATTTATTGTCTTTAGAGCACACAAAGAATCTGTCCTACCTGGGATTTCCTTATGTACCACTTCAGCTCAAGCAGACTGCCTGTTGGACCCCTGCTGTCAGCAATTATAATTTTCTCTATTTCTGATTATCATTCTAGTATGTCTGACAGATAACATTAAACAGTTCCTTCCAAATTTCCTTTCATCCCATCAGAAATTTCTGTTCCAACCAGTTAGATGCCCATTAGTTAGGTTACATCAGTCTTATAAAAGAAGCCTTAGGAAAACAAGTAGAGTGTGCGTAAGTAATTCCCAAAAACTGATTTCAGGCAGTCTTTACTTGGGTTTAAAAACAGTGCTTCATGCATTTACAGTAAGTTATCATGGATGTACACACAACAGCCAAACCCAGCTTACTATCTTGTGCAGATCTCGTCTCCCAGCTTGGCAGTAATGAGTACCTTATGTGAGTGACCCATGAATTAAAGAAGGCAGCCACTGCTGGCTACAGATGGCTTAGTGCAACACAGTGGAGGTAGCAAACACATAAGGTCCTTAGGGGCTGTGTAACAGCCTGAAAATTAAGACACTGGGGGATAAGTGTAGGGGAGGGGCCAAGCAGCAGGTTCTTTTCCTTTTCATCTCCTTTAGAATAAGTTTAAAAAAAATTCATAGAATAATAAAAGAAAGAGGGTGAACGGTCCATGCTAGTGAAGAGGAAAAGTGTCCCTACTTTTGGTCACATCAAAAAGGATGGGCCAGGCATAGTGGCTCATTCCTATAATCATCGTACCCAGGAGGCTGTGCCAGGAACTGAAAGGCATCCTGGGCTATATAGTGAATTCCAGGCCAGCCTGGGCTATATAGTGAGACTCTGTTTCAAAAAGACCAAGAAAAGAAGTGGGGAGTGCAGGGATAAGAAAAGACCAGCAGGGGTGTCGAGGTGCAGGCCCAGGTGTTAGTGCTCCAGTCTAAGCAGCGGTGTTCTTGGCACCCCGAAATTCTCTAGTGAAAGAGGCTGAGTGGAGCACACTTGGCTAGCACAACAAAGCCCTTGGTCAGCTCCTCACACCTTACAGGGCTTTGTGTGGTGCTTCATCCTGTACTCCAGCGCCTGGGAGGTGGACATGGGAAGACCAGGAGTTTACAGTCATCCTCAAGAAAACAACCACATACACACACACACACACACACACACACACACACACACACACACACAATCCTCATAGCTGTAAAGAACACAGCAGTGGCGCCAGTGTGATACAGACCTGTAGTCCCAGCACCCAGAAACCTGAGTTGGGAGGATCCCTTGAGCACAGAAATGTGAGGCCAGCCCGGGCAACATAGACTCATCTCAGGGGGAAAAAATAGAAATTAAAAACAAACCTTGGCAGTCATGAATCTTAGGCCAAGTGATTCCCACCTGGGCAAAAACTGACTTAATAGGACCTAAGCATTACATCGCAATAAGTCTAGTACCAGAGGTGCTGCCAGTTCCAGGTTAGCATGTTGGGATGGCACCACACAGGTGTTTGTTTAGTTCAAGCTGTGAGGGAATGTTTGTAGCTCCCAGATGGGAAGTGTGTGCCACTGCCTGCCACACTAACAGTGCAGACTGCTGACAAGTGCTCTTTGGTCCCACACTACTATACTATGCAACTGCAGGACAATGTCATTCTCTCCATGGTTCACTCAGCGCCTTGTCTCAAAGTAGTTGGTGGAAAGCAGGACCACGTTGTGCAGCAATAGAGACAGCTCAGCTTCTGAAAACACCATCAGGGTTAGTGCTTGGCTAGAACATGGTTTACCTAACTGCCTTGGAGTATAGACTTGACATGAGGTAGGAAGCCAGGGATGGGGAGTACAGCACCGAGGCTAATCTCTGAACCCCTGCTTCACTCCAGCCCTACATGCATGACCCCCTCCCCGCTTCCACTAATTATTCACGTCCACCATGTCTTGACTCTCACATGATGGCAGTCACCTCATGGTAGAAGTTGGTGCTGTCAGGACATTCCTTAGCTTCAGGACTGCTTCTCACCCAGGACAATTCTGTCCCTCTCCCCTTATTCCCCAAGCTCAGAAACAGGTGGCAGTGTCTGGAGAGATCTCTTGTTTGGCACACTAGACACAAAGGGCTGTGACTGGCATGGAATGGGTATAGGCATTTATACTCATTAAATACCCTGTTGTGCGGGAGATAACCCTCTAAACAAACTGTCAGTAGTGCCTGGGCTATGAAGCTCTGCCTCAGAGCAGCAAGCAGTCCTTTTGTCTTACACAGCCTATGCTATAGTAGGCACTCAATTCTATGCCCTTCAATGACAAAATACATATATGTTAGATTAAAGCTTCATGATACTCAGCAAGTAATCCCAGAATAAAGTACAAAAATGAGCTGGGTATGGTGGAGCACTGCCTATAATCCCAGCATTCAGGAGGCAGAGGCAGGAGGATAACTGCAAGTTCAAAGCCAATCTGGTATAGAGTGAGCACCAAACCAGTCAGAGCTATACAGTAAGATCCTGGTTTTTGGTTTGTTTGGTTTTTGTTATTGTTGTTTAGTATGTTTTCTAACTTCAGTAGCATGGACACAGAGGTTTGCCTTACCTTTTAGGTTGCAGGAAATCTGCAACCATTCTCCCAGCCAAGTCCGACACCTATCATCAGCAATATGGGTAGAATTCAAGCCACGAAGATAGCAAGCCTGTCACTCAGAAGAGAAACATCTGGAGTAAGCATAGTATGCCACAAACAGAAATCCACAAATGATTGGATCTTATCCCCATAAGAAACCTTCACCATGTTGCTGGATGGTGGTGTATACCTTTAATTCCAACACTCGGGAGCAAAGGCAGGCAGATCTCTTAGTTTGAGGCCAGCCTGGTCTACAGAGTGAGTTCCAGTACAGCCAGAGAAACCCTGTCTGGGGAGGGGGTAGGGGGAGGACCTTCACCATGCAATGTAAACTACAGATGATAACCAAATAGGCCTATTGCCACATGTCTTGATAAGGCCCATGTGTTTAAAAGGCTTAGTGCCAGGTTAGAAACATTCCCCTGTAGAGTGCTCCTACAGCACACCCAAGGCCTAAGTGACACATCATAGTAAAAGCCAGTGCAGGTGACCATGCTTCAGCCTGCTGTGGAAAAGGGGGAGGCTTAGTCCTCCACTCTGCTCCTGGGATGCAGGTAGAGAAACTAGAAGATGAAGCTGATTGAGCAGTCTTCAGTCAATGAATGCAAGTCCTTGGAGGGTGCTACTTGATACCAGCTTTCCTCTTCCTGTCTCTTATGCCCCAGCTGCCAGGACATGAACAGCTATGCTTCATCTCATACTCCCAAAACCAATGAGGTCAATTGACCAGGACCAAAACCTCCAAAACTGTGAGCCCAAAACAAAACAAAACAGCTTTCTTCTTTTTAAGTTGATAAGCTCAGGTATTTGTTACAATAATGGAAAGCTGACTAATACATCTGTATAATCTAAAATAGTAGGCTTAAGATATATTGTCCTTGAAATTGTTTTAAACAGGTTGTCCTGAAACTGCTCCCAAGTGCTAAGGTATTTGTATCATACCCTGCCCAGGGGCCTTGCTTTTTTTTTTTTTTTTTTTTTTTTTTTTTTTTTTTTAACTCATTCCCACTAGTTATGTACACAAAAAAAACAAACATGGAAATAAAACAAATGAGCTTGGAGTCAGATATAATGGCTCTGACTGTAATCCCAACACTGGAGAAACAGGCAGGATTGCATAAATTTGAGGCCAGCCTGTGCTACACACAAGATCTGGAGGGGCAGGGTGTCAGCATGTCACCCAGCCTCATCTACTGAAAGAGTTTGAGGCCAGCTAGGGCTATATAGTGAGATTCTATATCAAAATAACTAAAACAACACAGAAACATCTTGAGTTTTGCTACAAGCAAGATGAAGAGCCCTGTAATCATCCAGCCCACTGTGGGACACTGTTTAACACTGCAATTAACCTCTTACCGATTTCACTTCCTGAGCAGTCAGCTGGCCAATCCCCAGCTTTGCCAGAGCCCTGTCCAGCTGGTGAATCACAGTGCTGTGGCTCTTCAAACGCCACCTCAACAAGGCAGAAGGCAGGTAAGGGGTGAGGAGGATGGCCCGGCTCAGGGATCTCTGCGACACAGCAGGTAGGAAGAATGTGAAATTGTCTTACTTTACAGCTTAACACACAGTAAGCCTGTGGAAAACAAAAGGCCTCCAAGTGCTCACCATGTGCAGAGACTGGAGTTGATTCAAACCCAGGGGCTGGGTAGAGAAGCACTCTCTGAGAGCCAGGATGTCATGTGCTGTTGGGTGGGCGCCATTCTGCACCTTGGAAGAAGTAAGAAGTGGGTAGATTTAGAGACTGACCAGCTCTTGTGCTCAGTGACCTCCCTGGTCCAGCTGGAGAACGGCTTGGCTGAGGCAGTACCTTGGTGCACAGGTCTGTCAGGTGCCACCGCAGCCTCTCATCAGAAACAAGAGTGCTGGCCCTTTCTAAATGAGTAATGATTTCTGAGTGGGACTGCTTCCGGAGACTGTGATAAATGTCTAAGAAATCAATTTGTTGTTTGGGGGTCCAGAAATGTTTAACAAGTAGTTGCCTAGGAAACAGGTACCTACAAGGAAAAAGCATAACAGAGTCACTTTCTGAAAATGAACTAATCAGGTATCTAGCAGAGACTTGCTTCTCTACCCCACAATCTTTCTCCTGTCTCAGCCCACGTCTCAGCAGGCAGTATTACTGAAATGTGATTGGAAAGAAAGCTGGTGTGCCACAGTCATATAAAATGCCTCTTTTTTAACTAAAGCTCGTAAAAAACATACTTCAGACAGTTTCATACAGAGCTGGATGCTGTGTGCAGTGCTGACAGCTACCACAGAACAGTCATACTAAAAAGACCCTGGATATGCTCTTTGTTACCCACATGGAAGGTAGCTTTTTAAACACAGATATAAATTCTCTGGCACTTCTTATGGGCAGGTATGGTTTATTTCCCTCTTCTTTTTCCACTCTGAGTGATTAACTCATACAACAGAGCAGATATGAGTCTACAACCTCTAAGACAAAGATATGGAAAGTATAGGCTAGGTATGATGGTACACACCTTTTTAGTCCTGTTAGGAGGTAGAGGCAGACAGATGATATTTGTGAGTTCCAATATGGCCAGGGTTATATGGTGAGGCCTTGGGTTTTGTTTTTAAAGTCATGTGCTCACTGGCCCACTAATCCCTGGAGCTCTGGTTGTGTTGTAAGAAGCTCCACTACCCAGGCTGCTAGCCTGAAGAGGCGGCCCATCTCCCAATGTTCACATCAAAACACCAGACACAGAGTGATCTCAGGACCTTCTCTGGCTCACTCAACAGCTGTTACTGTAGAGCCTGTTAACTTCGCCCAAGTAAGAAAAGTCCATCACTCCCAAGCCCTATCCAAATACTTTGTTGTTGTTGTTCATTTGTTTGTTTTGTTTTTGGAGACAGGGTTTATCTGTGTAACAGACTGGCACTCACATGTTGGCTTAAAACCATTGCTAGGTCATTACATGGTGCATATACACACTTGCAGGCAAAACACTCATAAAATAAATAAATTGAAAAAATAAAAAACCTTTGGGATGCTGAAAAGATTGAAGTAGGAAGTCTGATGACCTCTGAACTTCTGAGATGAAAAGTTTTTAAAATAATTTCCTTGGGGCACTATCTGCTCCTTCAGAGGACCCAGGTTCAATTCTCAGCACCTATTTGAAAGCTCACAATCATCTGAAACTCCAGTCCCAGAGATCTGATGCTCCCTTCTGCTCCCCAAGATCTTGCATGCATGTGGGGCACATAAGCTTACATAACCTCATATACATGATAAAAAAAAGTAATTTAAAAATAGTTTTCTTGGTTTTTTTTTTTTTTGGTTGGTTGGTTGGTTTGAAAAAAAGATTACATGTAGCTGAGGTTAGCTTTGAACTTCTGATCCTCCTGCCTCCATCTCTCCCAAGTGCTAAAATCATGTGCCACTACATCAAGCAAAATGATTTTTATTTTTAAAACAATCTAGTTTCAAGATCTGGTGATAGTGTATACTCACATTAGCAGGAAGACCAAGTAGTTGGCAAAGGGTGGAATGGAAATGATACCTACGAAAAGACACTTGGTGACATCTTGACGGAACTAAACAGAAATAAACACAGATACAGTTTTAACCCAAGTAAGTTCTTGATAACATGGCAAACCCTCCATCCCACTCAGTGTACAGTGAACTTGTGCCACAGCCTAGAAAAAGGACTGCTTATTTCTGTATTCTGAATGGTAAGTTCCTGAGGGTGGACTTCTGATGCTAATGTCTGTATCCCAAATATTGAGTAGAGGGCCTAACTTTTTATCAAACCCCTTGGTGAACTCTTTCTGACTTGCTGAATGTCTCCTAAATTCACCGCTTCAAACTGCCTGTCAGGTCACTGCCAAACACTTTCCTGCTGCCCTGAAGCTCTGTACAGATTGTTGTATGTCCAAAACCAAACTGAATTTTACTACTTACAAATCGAATCAGAAAATTTACCAGAATTCTATATAGCTCTGCTGTGAAGTTCATTCTCAGTGAACCCAATTCTGACAAGTAACTGGATGCCTTGTGGCAAAGGGAAATGTGTGATCAGGGAAAAACAAGAAACAAAAGAAACAAGTGTAGGATCTTAGTTAATTACATCACCATGAACATCTGGATATTTGCCCCTGGCCCATACCTGTCTCAAATGCTCCATCTCCCGGTAAGAAAGTTGATGAAACTTTACATTGTGCTTCCTCATATTTGACTTTATTCTTCTAGCCTTTTTGGCATCAGCCCATAACATCTGTATTCCTGCCCCATTAAAGCGGAGGACAGAATGCGATGTTATCCCAGTTTGAATCTCACCGTAGCCTCCTACTGTGTTCACTCACATGCACACACACTGGCCCTTCCCCAGCACTGCCTACATAAAAGCTTTCAACTAGGAAGCCTGACACACCTCAGACCTCCCCATCCTTTCCCGAAGCATAATACCCAGCTGAATTATGGTCTGCCATGGAATGGTCTCCTGTGAGCTCATTACTCTTCCCTTGTTTTAAACTCTATATCCTACCAGAATATCCTGGTCAACAAATCCTATGTTTCCTAGCCAGATTAAACTGCTGCTTTCTGGGACATGTTTACAAGTTGCATAATTTGACATATTGCTATGGTCCCATTTTGAATCTTCATTCTATGGTCATCCTTACATTTATCTAGTTTTTTTTTAAAATGCTTCCAGGGCTGGTAAAGAGATGGCTCAGAGGTTAAGAGCACCTACTGCTCTTGCAGAGGAACCAGGTTCAGTTCCCAGTACCCACATGGTGGTTCACAACCATCCACAATTCATATTCCAGGGAAGCTAATACCTGCTGACCTCAGAGGGCACCAGGCATGAACATGGTACACATATATACATGCACAAGACATGAACATGGTACACATGTATACATGCAGGCAAAACGGTCATACAAATAAAATGAATAAAATCTTTTAATACTTCCATATTTATGAACAAAAATGTTAGCAAGATTAACTTCAAATTATACAGTGTGTGTGTGTGTGTGCATAAATATACATCTGTGTGTGTATGATTGGTGGTCATTAACTATTTTGTTTTAAGTTTCTTGTTTTGTTTTTACAGGATCTTGCTATTTAACTGAAGCTGACCTTGAACTCCTGATCCTCCTGCCCTGGGAATACTGGGTTGTGGGATTATAGACACAGAACTACTATGTCTGGCAAACCAGCCTTTCTTACCTCCAGTTTTTAGATAAAAGTGGGTAATTTTTCAACTCCATGAAGCTAATAATAATTATAGTAATATACAGAGTTGACAACATTCTATTTTCTTTTGCTAGTGGATAAAAGTATAGGATATAATAATAGTAATAGTCAATACTATAGATACCATATTAATATAGTATGGCATGGTATATGTAGTATACTATATAATATACTATTACATATTAATAATGATCAGACCCTGTTCTAATCACTTTTTATATGTTGACTTACTCTTCACAATTGGGTGTGGTGTCTCAGGCTTGAAATCCCAGCATTCAGAAAGTGGAGGTAGGGAGATCAGAAGTTCAAGGTCATCCTCAACTACACAGAAAGCTCAAGGCCAGCCTAAGCTGCACGACACCCTTTCCAAGTGAATAATAATAATATTCACAACTACGTAATCAACAAGTCAGTTCTATTGCTTTATAAATGAGAAATCCCAGAGACAGTTTTAGTCACTGCGGCAAGAGTAGTCAGTAAGTCACAAACTGGGATCTGAACTAGGCATTTCGGATAGAGTGGTCAAGTGACATCACAGGCGCCATTTCATCGCGACTAGTGGACCTCCATTTTAAATCGAAACATTCAGAAATCAAGCATATATAGTGCTGTTTCCCCTACAAGTAAAGCTGGCCATCTGATAAGTATTTGGATATTTTCTTTCAACAACAGGTAAGTCACTGAGGCAGGTCTACACAGCCACAGTTCCCTGCTCTGGTGAAGGGCAAGAAAATGGCATCCACTCCTGCGATATCAGAAGCTGTTTATCATAACATCATTCTAGACATTTAGGAGGTGACACTTTGTAGGAATTAATGCTCAAACACCGATGAAAAAAGACATCCCAACTCACATCCATGCAGCAGAACCCCCGCGGGCAAGCGTTTATCTCACTGACTATAATTTTCTAGCTGACTGGCGGATTTCTATTTTAGTGTTTACCTTTCATGAAGACTGTGTATAAGGCATAGAAGCGGGGAAAATGACGACCCAAGAAACGATGGTACGTCCCATTAATCGCTCTTGTCTTGGTCACCACATAAGAAATCAAGTTCTTCACATCTGCCTTTGGAGAAAGATGCAGCCTTGAAGACCTACAAGGAAGATCAAAGAGACCTATCTGTGATGTAGCAGAAGCCACCTTGTACCTAAGGCGCCTACTGTAAAATACAAGTTTTTGACAATGATTGCCAAAGCCCGAAAGTTCCGAAAACCAAAGCCCTTTGGTCTGAGAGGGCAGCTCAGACAGAAGAGGGTGACGGACGGTATGAGCATGGAGTGTGCACCAAGCCTGTGGGGCCAGCAGAATGCAAGCTAAGGCCATGGAGATGGGAAGAAGGGGAAGCTGAAAGATGAGCTCGGGAAGCGCAGGGAAGAGCAGACAAGGCGGAGCAGAGAGGGTCAGGGACCCGCATTCGGGAGGGTCCCCGAGAAGCCGAGGCTGAGCCTCTCCAAGGCCTTCTACGTCAAGAACGCTCTTCTCTCTCCGGGGCCCTCACCGAGGGGCTCGCCACGCAGAGCCAGAGCGACCCAGCGGCAGTCTGCGGGTGACAAAGGGTCCAGGGGCGACGGCTGAGCCCCAAAGAGCAGCGCGAGCCCAGCACACCCTGGACAGCGCCATCTTCGCGGCGAGGGAGGGAGCGCAGGGGCCAGGGGTCGTCTCCGGGTCAGAGTGCGCCCCGCAGCACGCACGCGTCGCTCCCCAGTGATGACAGGCGCCCCCCCTCCCCCGCCATCCCCCTCCCCCCCGGCGCCAGCGTGCGAGCCTGGGAAGGGGCGGGGCTTCGGGCCGCGCGCCGGAGAAGGACCCGGATTGGACGCGGCGCCGCTTTGGCTGGTAGGACCGGAAACGAGCCGTCCTGAGGGAGCGCGGGCCCAGCCCGAGGGAGCGTTCGTCAGCCCGAGGACGCCGTCTCCTTGAGCGGCCCCGTGCCCTCGTCCGGTCCCTAGGGCCTCGGGGCTTGCGGTCGCTCCCCTTGACCTCTGCGGCGCCCAGGGCGTCGGGCCCGGCGGGGTCAGCGGGAGGAGGGCGGGGACGGGTCAGTGGGGTGGCGCGGCGAGCGCCCTCTGGTGGCGGAGGCAAGGCTGTCCGCTCTCCTGTCAGTCTGGGGGCCTGTAGTGTAGACTACTGGAAGGACTTGTCACCTGTGCCCCCTCCCTCCTTCTTCCCTCCCATCTTCCTTCCCTCCCTCCCTCCCCTCCCTATCCTACTCTACCCTCCCCTCCCAAGCCCTCACCTGTCAGTCCTCAGGCGCCCTATCTCATAGTAGGTGCACAGTGGTTATTTTGGAGTAAATGACTACTGAAACTAGGAAGCATTTCTAGGCATTTGGCTGCCTGTGAATGTTCACAACAGCCCTGTTGTGTCTCTAGGCATTTTAACCAGCAGGAAGTGTGCTGAAACCGTGTGTTTCTGTGCTTTAGTGTGGGACCTTGGACAGGTCACTTGAGTGTGTTTCCTGTGCCGTGTGCCTATGTTATATGAATTCTGTGAGGGTCCAAGAATGGAATGTTTGCAGAAGTTCCTACATCTGTGAAATGTTAGGAGGGGCTGGTGATGGCAACACAGCTCCAAAGACTATACTTGCTGGGTAGATGAGCTAGACAGGATAGAAAATTGATGGAAAGATGGTTTCTCTCCATTCTCGGGTAGCTTCTGAGTCCTCTAACTACTGTGGCTCACAAGAATATTTGGTTCAATTATAGCAGACTTTCTAGGAGGAAAGGGTGGGCAGAACAAGGATGGCTTTATAAGAGAACTGCAAAGGTACTGCCAGGAAGAACAAACTAAAGGGAGGGCATTTCGTGTTTTAGGAGGGCGGGGGAGGGGGAGGGTTTGCTAGGTACAATGCTGTGCACGCCTGAGGAATTGAGTCTGATCTGTGACACCATGTCTAAAGCAGGCATGCTGCTAAATGACCCTCAAGGAACCTTAGAGCCAGGACACTGGCAGGAGGAACCTGGCACCTGCTGGCCAGCCATGTAGCCAAGTTAGTAGGTTACAGGGTCAGGGGGGAGCCTGTCTCAGAAAAACCAAGAAGATTGCCAGAGACAGTACACACATCCAGCAGCACACGTATGCAATTGTACACAAACACACAAAAAGAAAAAAATGTGACAGGAATTCATTCCTCACATAGCTGTTTACTTCTTTCATTTCTCCTTACCCTAATACATGCACGCACACACGCACACACACACACACACACACACACACACACACACACACACATGCGCGCGCGTGCAGCCTTGTTGCTCTACTTCTGGTCTCTTCAGTTAGCTCCCTTATCTAGTCTGCCTTACTCTGTTCTGTTACAGTGGCCTCCTCCTGCTTTCTCTGCCACTTTCCATTCCTCTATTACTCTGCCTGCAGGTAGCCAGAGGACACTGTGTTCTTCTGTTCTGTGTTGTGTTTTCAGACATGAGCTCAGTGTACCCAAGCTGGTCTTGAACCCCCAATTCTCTTTACATCCTTCTCCCAAGTGCTAGAATTATGGGTGCAGAGAACCATCCATGGCTCATAGAACACTTCCAAAGTAGTCTGTCAGGCATGCTAGCATATGCCTGTAATCCAGGCACTTGTGATCCTGCATAGTGAGATCTCTCCCTTTACCCCTCCTCTCCTTCCCTCCCCCTCTCTCTCTTTCACCTCTCTCACTCTCTCCCTCTTCCTTCTCTCTCTCCTTCCACCTCTTCCTCTTTCCCCTCTCTCTTCTCCTCTCCCTCTCCCCTCTGTTTCTTTCCCTCTTCCCCCTCCCTTTCTCCTCTTTTCTTTCTCCTGTCTTTCTCTCAAACAAACACAGAGTTAAATACATGCGGAGTTTAAACAACTACTTTAGAGCTAAGTTACTCATCTCATCGTGATCTTCATCCATCTTCCATCTTTGTTCTTTTCATGTGTTTCCATAGCAACTCCCTCTGGTTGTGCTGTTCTTTATCTAGGTGTACAGCAGCATCACCTTTGGCAGCTTGCCTTCTGCTCCTAAAGCCACTTAACCATCGGCACCCATGTTACTCCACATCTCTCTGTTTGCAAGAGATATGAGTAGGCCAAATGTTCTACTTGACATGGGACAGTACTCAGAACAAGACCTCCCGAGTGCATTGTGTCCCTTGGGCTCCTCATTTCTCCTTTGGCAGGGATAGAAAATTTTGTTTCTCTTTCACAATGGGCCTTGTCCACCAGAGTCATCTCTTCAGATTTTCCTCTCCCCTAAGCAACCTGGTCTCCCTCCTCTGAGCATGGTAGAAAGCCCCAGAAGCTGATTGAAGCCCTGTGTGTGCTTTCCCAGCAAGTTCACACAAAGAATGCCAATGAGAACATCTCATCTCTCCACTTCTGAAGATTTTCATTGCCTGTGTTTATTTTTCCTCAGTGAGGCAGAGGGTTATCTGTTCCATTCTTATTCACCACAACTCTGTGTTATGGAAAACCAAGCTTGCAGGTTTGGATGCTTGTAGCCAGCTGTACTTACTCTCTGTGTGTGCAAGTATGCATGTGTTCATGTGTGTGTGCATGCATATTCGCATAGGCATACATGTGGTGACTAGAGGTGGACCTCGGATATCTTCCTCAGTTGCTTTCCACTTTGTTTTTTGAGACAGTCTCTCATTGTCTAGACCAGCTTGCTAGTGAGCTCTAGGCTCTTGGGATCTGTCTGTCTCTGGCTCCCCAAAACTGGAATGGCCTGAATTTAATGTGGGTGCTGGGGATCTGAACTCAGAGTCCTCACGCTTGTCTGGAAAGCACCTTCTAACTGAACCATCTCCCTAGCCTCTTTCCTTGTTTTTCATAGTACTTAGTAGAATCATAATTAGCTGCCATATTATACATTTCATGACGATCTACCCCAAGCATTCAGTTTACTATATTTCTAGTTCCTGGTGGTACAGGGAAAGTACACTGGCTAGCTTTTATGTCAATATGATACAGGCTAGAGTCATTTTGGAAGAAGGAACATCAGTTGAGATAATGCCCCCACTGGATGACCTGTGGGCAAGCCTGTGGTCCATTTTATTGATTAGTTATTGATATGGGAGAGCCCAGCTTCTTGTAGATGATACCACCCCTGAGCTGGTGATTCCAGGTGCTATAAGAAAGCAGGCTAAGCCAGGTGATGGTGGCACATGCCTTTAATCCCAGCACTTGGGAAACAGAGGCAGGTAGATCTCTGAGTTTGAGGGGTCAGCCTGGTCTACAGAGCAAGTTTCAGGACAGACAAGCAGATTGGGCCAGCCACTAAGCAGTACCTCTTCATGGCCTCTGCTTCATGGCCTGCTTCACAGTTCCTGTCCTGACTTACAAAAAATGAACTGTGATATGGAAGTATAAGCAGAATACCCCCAAGTTGCTTTTGGTCGTGGTGTTTTATCACAGCAACAGAAACCTTAAGACACTCGGGCATGTAAAAGGTGACTCACTAGATGTTTACACACTGAGTAGATACACAAAAAGTATAGCAGTGGTATTACAGACTTTTCCTATTGTAGTCCACAGTGTCAGGCTTTTGTTTTTTGTCTTTTTAATATACTTTTTTTTAAAGAAAAAGTACTGCTTTGAAGTATATCTCAGTGTGTTTTAGTTTTGCAAGATTGTATAGACCAATGGGTAGAATTATTTAGAAATACTAAAGAGAGGTAAAGAAAAAAAAAACCCAGCACATGTTTAAAGTGTTATTCTGAGACTAGTGTTAAATGTTAAATATTGGTAATCACCCTTTTAAAAAGCAAATAGTGCAGGGCTGGGGAGACAGCTCAGTGTTCTTCTAGCAGCTTCTGCTCATAACTCCAAATCCAGGGGCTCCAACATCACTGCACTCAACACACACACAGACACACACGTACTTGCATGTACACACTCATACATGTACATAATAAAAAATAATAGAGGGCCTGGAGAGATGACTACATGTTTAAGAGTGCTTTCTCCTCTTGTAGAAGACCCAAGGTTGGTTCCCAGCATCCACATGGCAGCTCCAGGCACACACAAAATGTAAATACATACATAATCTTAAAACATTCATGCAGGCAAAATTAAATTTTTAAAAAATCAATAGAGATGAAACTTAAAAGAAAAAAGATCAGGATCCAGGTAGTAGTGGCACTCACCATTAATCCTAGCACTTGGGAGGCAAAGGCAGGAAGATCTCAGTGAGTTCCAGGCCATCCTGATCTACATACAGAGTGAGTTCTAGGACAGCCAGGGCTACACAGAGAAGCCCTGTCTCAGAAAACAAAACAAACAAACAAAAAGCCAAAAGCAGAAACAAAACCAGAGGTCAAGTGTAGTGACTCACACCTGTAATCCCAGCATTCAGGAGACTGAGGCATTATCACTGATAATTCAAGGTCAGCTTGGGCTGTAAGTATCTCTATGTAGCAAAGCTGTGCCTCAAAGCAACTGTTCATGTATGAGGCCCAGAGTCTAAACTCCCCTAAGCTCCTTCACACAAAGCCAGAAGCAACAGTGCACACATTTTTGTTGTTGTTGTTGCTAATGTGTATGATATTTTGCCTACATGTCTATGCACCATGTATAGACATTGCCTTGGAGGCCAGAAGAGGGCACCAGATCCCCTTGAGACTGGAGTTACAGACAGTTGGGAGCCCTCTTGTGAGTTCTGGGGATGGAACCAAAGTCTTGTGACAGAGCCAAGGGTGCTCTTAACCACTGAACTGCCTCTCCAGCCCCAAGTGCATACATTTAGAATCCCAGCATTTCTAT